TTAAAAAAATAATCCTTAAGAGGTGACTCAATCCATTAAAAATTTGATATTTTAAATTAAAAATCTTAAGTTTAATTTTTAAATCAAATAATAAATTACCTTAGTTTAATAAAGAGATATTAATTGACAAATATTACCTCAATGAGATAATTTAATGATTAAAAATTTTAGATTTTAAATTAAAAATCTTAAGTTCAAGTTTTAAGTTTGGTAAAAAAGAATTTAAAAATAAAAAAGAGTTATCCCTTTTTATATATTTCATAATCAAATATAAATAATAATAATAATAATAATTCACAGATATTTATTATTTTCAACATGAATTACTTACATTTAACATCAGTAGTTAGAGAGAACCGGGTCTTTGGGTCCAATGGTTCGACCCCAAGTTTTAAGTACGTGGGTGAGGTGGTTAGAGTTTCGAGTTTCACCACCGTCATGAACTCTACCAAATGCGACCCAATAGTCGCGCGCCTCATTTAAGGAGGTGGAATGTTCACTAAATCTGGGATCGAATCCTCAATTGTTAACAACTAACTCAAACTAATTTTTTAACCATTACCCTTATCAAAAAAAAAAAAAAAAAAAAAAAAAAAAAAAAAAAAAAAACCAATAATATTGTGGAAAAAAACTATTATGAACATGATTGAAAATAGATGCCTTAGTGATTTAATGCCATTTATTGTGTTTGTAAGAATTTTTAATTTGGCTTTTTCAAGAAGGAAAAGGTAGAGTAAGAGGAACAAAGAAACAAATGGAGTCATATGAATTGTAGGGAGAGTGTGGTTATTATCACATGACTGTCCGATTTTAAAATGTCACTTTCCAATGGCCGGTGTGGAATGTGACGTTCTTCTAAGTTGTGCAATTCACATTTCAACCAAGAAAATATATACTACAATTTTCTTCAATTGTACAAATTATAAATGTTGTGTGACTTTTAAACAGTGAACCACTCCTACAGTTCCCACTTCACGTCGATCTCCTACCAAATATATGATTGGATAAGGCCATTTGACCCTGCTATGTGATGTCACATGGGTAGGGTCTCTCTTTCAATTTGTGTATTAATCTCACTTTATTTTAATTTATGTGTATCAATTATTTCTAAAAAATTCGTAGAAACTGATAGAGCTGATTTTCTGTACAAAGAAATTCAAGAAACCATTGCTTGTTTGGCTTAATTATTTTTTCTCGGCCAAATATTCTTTTCTTTCTTGGTACTAAATTATAATATTTAAAAATTATATTAAATTTAATTAATTTAAAATTAAATTATATCGAATTT